CCCCTACTTCACATGATATAGAAAGTTAAGCTTGGGGGACATGAAATAAATGAGATATCATTATATATCTTTGTAATTTTAACAAACCTCAGGAAATGAAGATAACTAGACATTACCATATATTAGAATGCGCATTCATATTTGTGGATGGATATACAAGAGTTAGGCCACTCTAAATTGAGATGGCAATTTCTTATGAAGTTAAACCTAAATTGACCATACAGCGTAGGAATTCCCTTCCTAGGCATTTAATAACACCCATGGAATGAAAACTTCTTTTCCACACAAATTTCTAAGCATTTTACTTATAGTAGCTGACATGAAAATAGCAAAAAAAAAAAAAAGATCCAAATGACCCAAAACAATAAAAGAACAAACTGTGATACGTGTGGTCAATAGATTTGAATTAGCAATAAAACTGAATGAACTAGTGACACAGGCAAGAAAACAGCTGAGAACTGAAATGCAGTATGCTGAGTGAAAGAGCAGGACCTGAAAGCAAAATGTGTCATGACATGACATTGTGAAAGTTATTCAGAGAGGCGGGGCAGTAGGAAAGGCTGTGTGAATGGACACGAGGAAATGTAGACTGTTTTATATATCAGTTGTGGTGGTAGTGATGGTTATGAGACTGTGTGTATTTGTCAAAGCCCACAGTTCTGCATACTAATTAATTTTTTAATACTAAAAAAAGATGAGCTCTAGAGAAGGTAGGGTTCTGGCTTGGGCAGCTGTGAGCCTGATGGCGTCCTTCTCTAGAAAGGCAACACTCTTCAGGCCTAAAGCACAGGCAGACTACAGAGGGACGTACAGAAGCAAGCAGTCTTTATTCTGTTGCTTTTCTTGGCTTGCCTGAACACTGAGGAAATTGCTACCTGAAAATAATTTTCTTCGGGGGAGTTAGAGGCAAGCTTTCAATAAAGACCCAATGAAACAGCCAGCGGCCTTCCTTCCATCAAGTTGGATGGAGCCTGAAAAGCCATTATGCGTGCCTCCTCCTCCTTCCTGAACTTGAATCATATTGAGAAGGTTTTTCAAACTTGCTTACAACAGCAAAGAAACTAGGCAGGGGGTGGGGGAGCTGGATATCTCCAGTTAACCACAGCTTCCTCTAGCAATATAGTTCTAAAAGCCAGGCACCAGTGGGGCAAGCTTGTAATCTTACCTACTTCAGAGACTGAGACCAGGCAGATCTTGGTTCAAGACCATTCAAGGAAAAAAGTTCTCAAGACTAGAATCTCAACAAGCAAATACTTATCAGCCCAGCTGCTTACTGTGGCAAGCAGAAATAGGGAGATTGTAGTTCAAGACTACATGAGCAAAGCAAGATTCTAGCTCAAAAACAACCGAAGTCTTGAGGTATGCCTAGCAAGTAGGGTCCCTGAGTTCAAATTCCAGTACTGACAACAAGAAAAAGAATATAGTTCTATTAGTGATTTCTTCCAAAGCACAGTTTGTCAAGACAATTATCTAACATCATTTCCAAGCAATGTGAAATCTAGTAAGTGCTCCTGTAAATTGGTGTGTTTATTTTTTTTTCATTTAAAAAGATAATAATGTTCACAACCTCTGGTTGTTTGCCAGCTAGAAGAAAACCAAAGGAAATATAAACAACAAAGTCATATCTTTCATTTTTAAGAGAAAAAAATAGAAAAAAAATTTCCTTATTAAAAGCTAACAGACACATTGTACTAGAAATAATATTTGAATAGGTATCAGCATAACTAGATTGGCATCACAACTGCAAATAATTTGAATACTAACTGACTGACTAATGCATATTACTATTCTCTTCAGCCTTGCAATAAGATGGAATTAGAACTAATTTTGTTTTCACATATAAAATTGAAATCGGGCTTGGGTACAGTGGCTCACTCCTGTAATTCCAGTTACTTGGGAGAGGCAGAGGTCAGGAGGGATCACAGCTTAAAGCCAGCATGGGCAAAAAAATTAGCAAACCCTGATCCCAACCAACAAACCAGGCATGGTGGCACACATTTACAGTCCCATGGGTGATAACATGAACATTTTAAACTTTTTGAAAGGTGGCATGTCTTTAGCATGTTTTTAAATAGGTGGCATTATGAGAAAAATTAATCAAGCATCTCATGTCCAGGGCTGAACTCTTGTGTAGCCTGAGCATTATTGGCTTTTTCTTAATTGCAGTCTTTTGGAACCAGATACTGATGGATAGCAAAGGTTCATTGTATTTGAAGTACTTTAACTTGGAACTATATAATTAACCAGAGCAACTTGACACAAAATCCCTGAGGAAGAATTTTCAGGTTGATTTGCTACATGTTAGGATGCCACAGGTTATAACATTCCAACATTTTTAGGCATCTACAAAGTTTTTTTTCTGAATCATTGTTCTATTGAGGTATGACTAACATTCAAAAACCTACATATAGGAGCTGGGAAGGTGGCTCAGTGGTAGAGTGCTTGCCTAGCACGCATGAGGCCCTGTGTTTAAGTCCTCAGCACCACATAAGCAGAAAAACCTAGAAGTGGCTCTGTGGCTCAAGTGTAGAACACTAGCCTTGAGCTGAAGAGTTGAGGGACAGTGCCCAGACCCAGAGTTCAGGCCCCACGACTGACAAAAACAACAACAACAAAAAAAAAAAAACCCTACATATATTTATTTAATACAATTTATTGTATACAACTTGGAAATGCACATACCTATGATACTATAACCAAAATCAAGGTGATACACATTTCTATAACGTCCAAAATTTTCTGTGTCTCTTTGCTTTTTCCTTTTTGTGGTTAAAAATACTTAACATGAGGCATGGCTCATATGATAGAGCACCTGTCTACCAAGTACAAGATCCTGAGTTCAAATTCCAGTAACTGCCCAAAAGAATATATAACATGTACTCTTCTTTCGTAACAAAATTTAAAGTGCCCCACTTTGTATTATTAACCTCAGATACTAAGCTGTTGTACAGCACATGTCTAGTACTTTACTCATCCTGGATAATTAACTTTGTGGCCTCTCTTCATTTCAATTCCTAGTCCATTCAATTTGTAATGGTTCTCCTTATTTCTCCTCCAATATCATTCTATTTTTTGCTTTTATGAATGTGACCATTTCAGATTCCCCAAACAGAAGATTACGCTTTCCTTGTCCTCTGAATATCTTTCACTGTATGTCTTCCAGGTCTATCCATGTGGTGGCACAAAATGGGATTTCATTTTTCTCTTTTAGGCTGAATACTAATTTATTGTCCAAATATACTCATTTTGACTATTTGTCTTAAACTCATGATTGTGAGATAACTTCCTTTCAATTCCTTTCTTTTTTAGGATGCAAGACATTCACCTCCTTGTTCAAATTTATTCCTAGTCTTTTATTTTTGTTGATCTTAGTATAAACGGGATTGCTTTCTTCATTTCTTTTTTAGATAGTTAGAATATAAAAATGTAGCTGGATACCAGTGACTCACACTGGTAATCCTCCTTTCTCAGGAGGCTGAGATCTGAGGATCACAATTTGAAGCCAGCCCAGGCAGGAAAGTCTGTGAGACTCTTATCACCAATTAACCACCAAAAAGCTGGAAGCAGAGGTATAGATCAAGAGGTAAAGTGCCAGCCTTGAACAAAGAAAGCTAAGCAAGAGTAGTACAGGCCCTGAGTTCAAACCCCAGTACTAGCAAGAAAAAAAAAAAAGAAATGCAACTGGTTTTCGACATGAAATTTTACTGAATTAATTTACTAGCTATAGTTAGCTAGTAAGGCCTGAGCACTGTCCTTGAGTTCTTGTGTTCAAGGTTTGCCCTCTACCACTATGAGCCACAGCTCTAGTTCTGGTTTCTGAGTAGTTAATTGGAGATAAGTCTTGTGGGGACTTTTCTGCCTAGGCAGGCTTCAAACAACAATCCTCAGACCTCAGGCTTCTGAGTAGCTAGGATTATAGGCGTGAGCCACCACTCAACAGGTAACCTTTCTAGTTTATAAAAGACTTTTGAGCGGCAGATACCTAAACATGCAAACAGAAACTCTTACTTCACTGATTGCCATCATGTTATTTATTTGAACGAGGAAAAAAAATCACATCATCTCTGAGTCAAGTCTATGTTTGTATCAGAATGAGTCTTTAACTCAGATTTTAGAAATAAATGAAATTCAGGCAACATTTGAGGTCAGAGCATATTCACTACATTACTTCTGATACCCTAGCTCTCCACCACATGCATTAATAAAAGAAACTGGTATTTAGATATTAAATAGTGAACAGATAATTTACATGTATTAGAGTATTTCATTCTAATTTCTTTATCCTCCTGAAATAAGAAAACAAACTCAGACAGGAGAAGAAATCTGTTCCACAGCACACAGAAGAGAAACATTAGCTGCAACTCCAAACAAGTTCTGAACACACCACCTTCCTCCCATCGTATTCAGTGCTCAGCATCCATGGCCACACAAACCCCCCTGATAATTACAATCACACACACACACACACACACACACACACACAAAACAATGGTATTTCCTCAAGAAGACTAGATAATAGATAACAACAATGTCAAATAAAGGCACAAAAGGGACAAAAACAAATTCAAATTATCCTACTAATATTAATTGGTAATTAACCTATTAATTTTCATAGTGACTCATAAGGAAGGTGGAAGATGTTTTATCACCTTTTTACATTTGAAGAAATAAAAGGCCAGACAGGCTATACAATTTGCTGCAAATTAAAAAGATGATACGATGATACAACCATGTACTTTAGCTTTATAATTTCCAGAATATTTTTTAAAATAACTGAATTAATCTGCCACTAAATTAATAGCCCAACAATATTGTCGCACTATTTGAGTGTCTAAACCCTACTTGTCAATGTAGTTATATTTAAATATTTTACTTTGGGCTAGGAATGTGGCTTAGAGGCAGAGTGCTTGTCTAGCATATATGAGGCCCTAGGTTCAATTCCCCAGTACCACAACAACAACAACAACAACATGAAAAAGAAAAAGAAATATTTTACTTACCTGATATTCAAGCCAATGAAATTTGTCCATGTGAAAATATAATCTCCACCAAAGACCATTCCAATGTAAGTTATTAATATATTCTAAAAAAATAAATATAGTTACATGGATTTAAGTGAGTTTTTTTAATGTGTGTGTGTATATATATATATAAATAAGTAAATATATATATATATATATACATTCATACTGTGACTCAAATACCTATCCTTAAAATACAAAACAAGCCAACAATAACAACAAAATCTTATCAACAAGCCAGAGCCTAGTGGATCACGTCTGTAATCCTACCTACTCAGGAAGCCAAGATCTGAGGATAAGAGTTTAAAGCAAGCCTGGGCAGGAAACTCTATGAAACTCTTGTCTTCAATTAACTACCAAAAAGCTGGAAGTAGAACTGTGGCTCAAGAGGTAAAATACTTGCCTTGAGGACAAAAGCTTAGGAGTCAGCCCAGGCCTTGAGTTCAAGCTCCTAGGACTAGTACCAAAAAAAAAAAAAAAAAACAACCACAAAACCTACCCTAAGCTGTGTGTTGTGTCATGTGAGTTACATCACTAACAGGAATCCCTCATGCGGACCTGCTCCCCACTGTCGTTCTCCACAAACACGCTTTCACCGACATGAACACAGACGTGATCAGCAAACACCCCTGGCCTGAACTATTGCTGATGGATGATTTTCTCCTCCTACTGGGCTAACTGCTAACTAGTAAGAAGAGAAGCAAGACTGCTTACGTGCAGCACCTTTTTCTATTCTTCTAAAAAGCAAGAAAGGGAGTGAGTAGTGAGGACTTTACCAACATGAAGACTGCTTTTAGAAGACTCTTTCCTCATATCTTCAAAAACACATAAGCAGTCATTAAGATAATACTAAAAACCATTTCTGCAGCTGGACACCAGTGGCTCATGCCTGTAATCCTAGCTACTCAGGAGGCTGAGATCTGAGGAGCAGGGTTCAAAGCCAGCCCAGGCAGGAAAGTCCATGAGACTCTTATCTCCAATTAACCACCAGAAAACTGGAAGTGGCACTGTGGCTCAAGTGGTAGAACACTAGCCTTGAGTTGAAGAGCCGAAGAGCTGAGGGATAGCGCCCACGCCCAGAGTTCTAGCCCCCCCCAACCCCAGAAAGAAAAAACAAAACAAAACATTTCTGCTGACATTCTTCGGCACAAATATTTTTGGCTTCCTTTTAATTATCTTCAGCCTATGAAAGCAGAAAACAACCTTCTGAAGTTTACTTGCCAGGAAACAAAAGTGATTATCCTACTGACTTAAAACTAAGACTATAATTTTCATACTCTAAAGTACATGAGAATTATGCGGAAAATGAAGATTGTCACACACTCTCTGAGAACCTGGAGGCTCTGCTACATCACACCCCATTAATCTGGTAGGACAGAAGATAAGGTGCTATAATTTATCCTTAGAAGCCCAGACTGGGTGTAGAGCTCAGGAGGAGAGTGCTTGCTCCATCCCTAGCACACACCACACACACACACACACACACACACACACACACAAAGCACCTTCAAAATTATTTTTGTAATAAAATGAGCTTTGAGAAAGCATTCAAAAACATTTAAGTTTCTTCTAGATCTAAGGATAGTAACAGCAGGCCACTTTAGAACAACTCAAGTTACCCTGAGTTTCCCATCAAATATTCTTATTATGTGAGAGAAATAGTAAAGAAGGCCAGTAAGTTTGTTGGGTAAGTATGTGAATGGACTTAACTCTTCTCTGAATACAGAGAGCCAGTAATAAGGTAGATTAATGTGAATAAACTGCCCAGAGAACTTCAGACCAGGAGGGGACAGAAAATCTGAACCTTCCTGTTCAAAATCAGAAATCAGATAAACTATAGGTACATATTAGGGTATCTTAAATAAGTTGGCTTCATGAAAAGAAAAAAACTTGCCAAGAAACACAGGTGATCATTCTGCTAACTTAAACTAAAACTCTAATTTTCACACTCCAAGCATTATGTAGAATTACAAATGAAGATTTCTAGGCTCTACTTACAGACTGTGATTTGGTGTATATGGGGATGGGCCTAGGAATATCCACTTTAAATATGTTCATGACTTTCCTATCACACCAAAGAGAAATAAGGGATCTGACCCTCCAGAGGTCTGTGGGGTTGGCTCCTCAGGGACAGAGGAAGCTTAAAGCCCTTTCAGCTTAAAGTTGAAAGGCTTATTGGCTGGAGGCTACTGAAAAACACTTCCCAGTGGCTAAGGAGACAGTGACCAGCAGTGTCTGCATGGACTCCCACCCATCTGAATGTACCAGCCATCCTTTAACAATGAGACGTGACAGCAGTGAGGAGCAAAAGCTACAGGGAATTAAGCACACAACCTAGATTCTTCCCTTCCCTCTAAGTATAAATTAAACCCCTTAGGACTGAGTAAAGCTCATGAGGTTGTTGGGATACCTTGGGAGGGTAACTCATCAAAAGAAAAGAACTGGGGGCTAGGAAGGTAGCTCAGCAGTAGAGCGCTTGCCTTGCAAGCATGAGGCCCTGGGTTCGATTCCTCAGCACCACATAAACAGAAAAAGCTGGAAGTGGCGCTGTGGCTCCAGTGGTAGAGCGCTAGCCTTGAGCTGAAGAGCTAAGGGACAGCTCAGACCCTGAGTTCAGGCCCCATAATCGGCAAAAAAAAAAAAAAAAAGAAAAGAACTGTACTACTGTACACCAAGAAATTCAATCAAGTAGGTTTAGTTCTACATGTATGTAGGACTTCCTGCACCTTCCTCTCCTCACTGCTGACCTATCAGGGTTAAGAAAAGAAGTCATAAGGTCATCTGCCCTCTTTTACCCAAATGAGGGAGACCTACCTCTTTGTGACCTGCCTTTTGTAGAAAGCAAAACAAGGAAGGGAAGTAAAGGAGTGGTAGAGGGGCTGAGTTTGATCAGGATAAATGTACAGAAAGGCTACAATGAAACCCCTCTTGAACAACTAATATATGCTAATAAAACAAGGAAGAAAGCAAATCTACTATGCTATTCACTTGGGATTCAGACATGCTGTGGGCTCTGTGATCTTCTTTTTTTAAAAAGATGTGTGGGTCCTGGGGCTTAAAATCTGACTCTGGGAGCTGTCCCTGAGCTTTTTTGATCAAGGCTAGCACTCTACCACTTGAGCCACAGCTCCACTTTTTTATGGTAGTTAATAGGAGGTTAAGAGCATCTCATGAACTTTCCTGTGCAGGCTGGCTTTGAACCACCATCCTTAGATCTCAGCCTCCTGAGTAGCTAGCTATGAGTCTCTGTAATCTTAAACCACCTAAAATTCTCCATCAGATGAAAAAGGATTCAGCATACATTAGCTCAATATTTAATTCAACTTGACTCTCTAGGCTAAGGACAAATGAGTATTCCTCAAATAAAATGAATCAGGGGGAGATGACATCACTGGAAACACCAGACACAGGTTTTGAAAGCAGGCCATTTAAGCTTTGGCTCAGACATAGGAAAACTCCCATGATTACTTTCTGGTAGGCATACTGCCGGCACAGAACAGTAGAGTTCAGCAAGCAGCAAACAGAACAGTTCTCTCTCTTTGGGGGTTAAAGTAATGGATACTGAAGTATTATCTGCCCTGTCAGAAACAGGCCTAATCTCTTCCTTCCTCTACTTTTTTTTTCTTTTTTTTTTTTTTTTTAGTCAAGGGACTTGAACTCAAGGCCTGGAAGCTGTCCCTGAACTTTTCTGCTCAAGGCTAGTGCTGTACCACTGTTAGCCATAGCTCCACTTCCAGTTTTCTAGTGGTTAATTGGAGGTAAGAGTCACATTGAAGCTGGGTGCTGGTGGCTCATACCTGTAATACTAGCTACTCAGAAGCCTGAGATCTGAGGATCAGGGTTTAAAGCCAACCTGGGCAGGAAAAGTCCCTGAGACTCTTATCTCCAGGTCTCTAGTTACAGATAATTTAGCACTGATGAAAATGGTAAAAGGAAAATTTCTTATGTTAAAAGTAGAGGAACGGACAATTCCTCTTTGAATTCTTGTTTACAAAACTATATCCATGGTTTGTCGAAGCAGTAAGCAGTATGGAAGGACATTAAGACAGGCCTGAAAGCACAGCCAGATTCCTACTTCAGAGGCACAATTTTCAAATACAGCAGGTATCAAAAAGAGAAAACATTTTCTTTTCATCTCACCTTAATACAGCCAACTATTGTAGTTGTAAGAGCAGAATTATACTGCGTGCAGAGTACTGTTGCATACATCAAGATAAACCTAGGATGGAGAAGAAAAAGATGGGTTATAAGCAAGCTCCACTGCTTTCTAGTAATCTCTAGCCAAGAGAATTACCCAGTACTCGTCATGCTAACACATGCTAGTCATGACTGACTGTGACCTCATCACTGTTTACACTGTAACTTCAAAATTTTTTTAAGTTTCACTTAAGAGAAACACATGTCTACTATTTCCTGACCAGGTATTTCTCTCTGCTATTCTCACCAGAACAAAAAGCTAACATTCATAACTATGACTTATTTTCAGAGCTCATGCATCCTACTAACCCACTCATATAAGCCAGAGAGAGAGAGAGAACCAAGGGCTCACAGACTCTGGCTCAGCTATGTACCTGCCATGAGGATAATGTGATCTCTGAGAGAGGATCAAAGCAAGACAGCTTCTTGAGGATGGAAGAAGAGCACAGGAGAACTACTTTTGGATGGGATACAGGTTCATTTAATGGCTAAGCCTCAGTATTTGGACCTCTCAGATTTACACGGAAACCACAGAACTGACCCAGAGCTAAAGCAGCATGTCAACTCTGTTCTGTAGGGCTGGGAAGGTGGCTCAGTGGTAGAGTACTTGCCTTGTATGCATGAGGCCCTGGGTTCAATTCCTCAGCACCACATAAGCAAAAAGAAAAAAAAGCCCGAAGTGGTGCTGTGGCTCAAGTGGTAGAGCGCTAGCCTTGAGCTGAAGAGCTGAGGGACAGCGTGCAGGCCCAGAGTTCAGGCCCCACGTGGACCCAAAAACAAAAAAACAAAAAACAAAACAAAACAAAACAAAAACTCTGTTCTGTAGCCTCCAGGTACTATGCACAGGTCCAGCCACACACAGAAACCAAAACGACTAGCTGAGGAAAGTATGGAGGGGATAAGAAGCTGCTTACAGAAAACCTCTTGCCTTCTACATACTGTTCTGGCAAGAAAACAACATGAAAGAGAAACATCAGCCCCAAATGAAAATGTTGTCACTGCCATCCATTACCTGTGCTAACTCAGATAATTTACCTAAGTTTTGAGCCTGTGATCTCACAGGGAAGGAAGCATCAATACATGCCAAACAATCAATGCAGATCAAATTATAATGGTGCATATCACAGACAGTAGGCCCTTGTCACCATCCTACACTGGACTTGAGATCAGTTCAGCAGCCCTGAGAGCAGGGATGCTGCTATAAAAACACTAGGATCTGGAGGTGTATTTATCCTACGCTGACATATTAAGGATATGCAGGATAGAGAACCCAAGAAGAGGCTCACCCCATCACACAGGAGAGGGTGAACTGCAAAAGGAAAAGGGTATCCGCCCAGCCTTCAAACTCCATTGCCTGTAATACACAAGAAAGCATCAGATTTTAGAGCAAGTCCTCAACATCAGCTATCTCATACATTAATAAAAATTTTTCTATGCATCTGTAACCAACACACACACACACACACACACACACACACACACACACACACACACACACACACACAGAACACATTTCTCTGCATCAAAGAATAATGTTCAAGAATTTCAAATATGGACTGAACACATTTTCAGAAGGATTCATCCTTTCCAAAATGTAATGAAGAGGCTGGTGGTCACCAGTGGCTCATGCCTATAAATCCTAGCTACTCAGGAGGCTGAGAGATGAGGATCGTGGTTTAAAGTTAGCCTGAGAAGGAAAGTCCGTGGGACTCTTATCTCCCATTAACCACCAAAAAGCTGGAAGTGGAGTGGTGGCTCAAGAGGTAGCGTTAGCCTTGAGCATAAAACCTCAGGGATAGGTCCAGGACCTAAATTTAAGCCATAGGACCAGCACCAAAAATACATACATATATGCATACAGATACATAAATATGTGTGTATGTGTGTGTGTGTAATAAAAGAGATTTTATACTCTGAAGCAAAGAAGTATTTACTTGATGGCACAAGTCATATCTACACAAACTCATGTTCTACCAGATGGCCTAGTGTGTTAATGATAAAGGCTTTGTTGAATAGTAAAACACTTTTCTTCCCCATAACCTGCAAAAGCTAAAGCAAGCCCTGTTTACACAAATGAAACTAAAGTCTTAGTTTGAAACAGTTGATTCTAAGTTGTTACTGTTGTTTGTTTGAAGACAAAGAAAGGGTGTGGGGATCATTTCATCTTTCACACAAGAGGGAGAGTCTCTCTCAAGTAATTTCTTTTGCAAGCAAACTGAGTTTGATAAGCCAACGTGAAAAACATTCCATTTCCTTAGAGAACAACTTGTCCAGCTTCAACTTTTGCCATTTCACATAAACCCCTAAGCTCTGGGCTTCTTGTGGTTTATTCTTTTCATTTATTATTTGCTGGTCCTGGGACTTGAACTCAGGGCCTGGGTGCTGTCCCTGAGCTTCTTCGTGGTCAGTGCTAGCGCTCTAACACTTCAGCCATAGCACAACTTCTGGCTTTTTCTGGGTAGTCTATTGGAGATAAGAGTCTCACTGACTTTCCTGCCTGGGCTGGCTTCAAACTGTGATCCTCAGATCTCAGCCTCCTGAGGAGCTAGGATTACAGGTGTGAGCCACCAGTGCTGAACTCTTGTGGTGTATAAAGCATAACAAAGCTTCATATTTGCATGCCTTTGCCCGCAATGTTCTTCCCCAACACTGACTCTTGCTCACCCAGAAGACTAAACTCAAGGTTCCTGCCGTGCTTTCCCTGATCAAGGACTTTCTCTGCAGTTCAGTACTTCCCTCTAGGGCTCTGGATGCCAGCATGAACCTATTCCTCAATCCATGCCAGTCTATGTCAGTCTACAGACTGTGGGCTCCACTATGGAAGACCCATCCATCTCTAATCATATTCCTAACCCACCACTTACCAGACACTTTGTTTGAGGTTCTTTTTGTTGAGGTATAAAATAAAATTTGCCAACTTCAAATGCATAATTCAGTGAGTACAATCATGATAAGGAGATTCCTACACCTCACACACCAACAGTTCCCTCTAGTCGCTTTATAGTCAGACCCCTGGTATACAGCTCTGCTGCTAAAGCAACCTCAGACAAAGTAATTATAGTCTTTTTTGTCTTGTCTCTTCTCTTGGCAAGATGCTTTTGAGATTCATCCATGCTCTGAGTCTATCAGTAGCTCATTCATTTGTATTGTTAATGATTATTCCACCTTACGGCTAAACGACTGTTTAGTCACTTATCAATGGACCTTTATTTGAGTTGTTTCCACAATTATTGCAGTAAAGCACCAATGAATCTTTTAGTAAAATCAAAGTCTTGGACACATTGTTATTTATCTTGGGTAAATACCTAGAACAAGGGATTGCTGGACATGTTGCTAACTTTATCTCCAACTTTATAAGAAACTGTCAAAGTAGCTACACAACCTTATATTTTACTTTCTCACCAACTTGAGAACTGTTCAGGCCATTCCAGTAAGCATTAAGTGGTATCTCATGCTTTTAATTTGCCTTTCCTTGATTACCTACAAGGTTGAGCATCTTTTTTTTGGGGGGGGGGGGGGAGCACGGGGGTCCAGTCGTGGGGCCTGAACTCTGGGCCTGGACGCTATCCCTCAGCTCTTCAGCTCAAGGCTAGCGCTCTACCACTTGAGCCACAGCACCACTTCCGGCTTTTTTCTTTTTTGCTTATGTGGTGCTGAATCGAACTCAGGGCCTCAGGCATGCAAGCCAAGCGCTCTACCACTGAGCCAACTTCCCAGCCCCAAGGTTAAGTATCTTTTAATATACTTATCTGATATCAGTATTTCTTATTTCATAAAATGACTTCTTAATTTTTGTGCTAAATTTTTAATAAAGTTATTTGTCTTCCATTGACTGAGTGGTGATCTTTTTTAATATAAATGATAAACATTTTTAATTATACATATATGATATACTTACACATGAAAAGTATGTATGTATACATGCAGAAATATGACTTAGGAATGAAAAGTAACCAAAATTATATGACAAAGGCCTCAAATAAATGTCTGTCTACCTCTAAACTCCTTCCTCTGTTACATCTAAATCTCCTGTGCTTTCAATTACAATTCAGCACCTTCAAGTTAAGCTTTGGGCACAGTGATGAGGATGGTTTAATCAAATCTGCTGATAATCAAAAAGCAAGCATATCAAAGCAATAAAAACTGCTGCCTGCTATTTATTGAGGGCTTCTACATACATCATATCATTTGATTTCCACTGTGAAATGGAAAGATCGGGTCATACACAAAATGGCAAACTTTAGGTTCACAGTGAACATATGGTAAACCCCACTATATGCACTTCAAGGTCAAGGTTCTCTACACTCAATAAACACTCTGAGGATATAACTGTATCTGGAGAATAATATATTCTCATGAACATAAGTCCCTTTATATCAAATTCAAAAACAAAAATGTAATTCTCATGGCATTTTTCTGCTCTCCCTAAGTATTGGCCTGCTTCTGGAGAAAGCCAATGCATGGCACAAGCAGCCTGCTACAGGCCTCTGTTTCACCACAGGAGCAGTCAGGACAATCAGCAGCCAACCACAAGTACAGGATAAATATGACCTAATGGATATAAGGCCCACCTAGTTCCTATAATACACAGGGGCTTGCTGCCCATGCCCTAAAGAGAACATTTCAAAAATCAGTAAAAGCTAAAGCTACTGCTTACTGAGTACCTTCACTCTGTGCCAAGCTCAAAAATGTTAAGTAGCTTATCTAAAATTATCCAGCTAGAGCTTGTTCACTTCCAAGCCTAATCTACTCAAACAGAAAGAAGGACTCTCAAGGGACAAGAGACTGCAGGTTCTCATACCCTTAATCTATAACCTGTTACCTGCCAAGACAAGAGTCTCTCTCTCCTCCCTTATCATCACTGTGTGGAATGTACCTGCCCTCACAGCCCTTTCTAGAAACTAGAGAAGAAACCCACCAGGTACAGATTGGCTCCAGGATGTCTCCAAGAACTAACTGGCCACTGGTCTGTATCGTACAAGTGGAAATTTCCTTAAACCATGAAAAAGAAAGCTCTTAAAAAAACAACATCCTTACAAAGTAACGAAAATGACCAGACCTCAGGACATTCTAAACAGCCTGAATCCTCAATCAGTACTGTCCCCTTTCTTCAACTTCTATTTTCTTCCAATTAAAACTTCGGCCTGAGAGTTTGTGCTGAATATCTGTTTTATTTCTATAAATGCCAGGATGAAAATTCTCTCACCTCCTGTATCACTTCCATCTGCACTACTGGGTAAACATCAGGTTCTGGAGTTGGTTTGGTTTACTTTTGTTTTGTTTCCCACTGATGGTTCTACATGTGTACTATTATCAGATCAGTAATGCGAAAAGCAAGAGTTAGGAGAGAGACAAACAGCACATTCTCTCTCATATGTATAAGCTAGATGTAAAATACAACTGGACAAGATAACTTATACAGGTTTCTATATATTTAGATACAAACCAACAGACTAAAGGATACTCTTAAGGGAAGAGCCCAAAGACATAACTTCTCTGAACATCTAAATACTATTTATCCAAATGAATTCTAGGAAATGGAAACATGGGTTTTGGTGGTAGTGGTGGTGGTTTGGTTTTTGTTGCTATTGTCTTTTTAAGGGGGGGTAAAAGAGGGCACAGAAATGAAGGGAGAATAAACAAATGTAGTCACAGTATTGAATATACCACTGTATAAACAATGAACTTGTGAGCAGGGATGGAAGGGAGAAACTGGGGGAAAGCAAAGTAAGGGGTAACATTGTCCAAAAAAGAAATGTATTCATTACCTGACTATGGAATTATAAACCCTCTGTACAACTCCTTAGTAATGATAAAATTATATTTAAAAATGTTTAAAGCAAGAGTTAGGGCTGAGCATAAGAGGCCAGTGGTAGAGTATTTGCCTACTGAGCATGGGCCCCAGACTTAATTCCCTGCACTGTAAAGAAACAAAACAACAGTTCTATTCTATTTCTGCATATGTGTGATGAGAATCTCACATGACCAAAGGCCACTTAAAAATCTCACCTAACCAAACGTCTACTTCCTGTACTCAGGAAGGTTTTCCTATAACCTTCTGTGAGGCCATAAGGTCACTTAAGCCTGAAGTTTGACCTATATCACATATGTAAAACACAGGCTGCTCCAGCTGTCTCCTGTGAGGACCAATAAGAGAATATAGAGAGACAATTTAAATGTACAATGAATTTGTAACAGAAGACATCACTCGCAGAAGATTCCACTACTCCTATCTAGCAGTAGATTGGTAGGCAGATTTTTCATCTCCCTAAAGAGGGAGATGAAAAAGACAGAAGGTACAATGACTGTGTAACTTTGCTGATCAGGGAGAAAATGTCTAAACAAAACCTCTGC